ATATAGATATATAGATATAGATAGATATATATATATATATATATAGATATATATTCATTTTCATTTATTTGTTAGGTCTATGTTATATTGTTCTATATTTAGCTGTGAATAAAAAGAGCAGCATGCCTTGAATTACTAACATTATTGACATTAAGAAACCTGATTTGGAAATGTTTTTTTCCATGGATTTACCCATCAATCAGTGGTCCCTTGAGAGTCCTTGCACCTCTTCAAAGTTTTGCAAGAAAGTTTTCTCCCCAAAACGCTGAGCTGCTTTGGTTGGGTTTACAAAAATTAACCCGTTCCCTGTTTTGTGGGAAGATTTCTCAAATCAGTTCCAGCATGTTTTTTATCTATTATGCAATTTCCTCTTACAATTTTGCACATAACAAATTCTCATTAAATCCAAATGCACAAGTATTGATTTTAAATAGAATGTATTTATTGAAAGATTATTTATAAAAAAGTTTTTTCCGGAATGCATGCATGACTAAACAAATATTTTAAATAAATGCATTGCTTCCTGCCAGTTTTTTTTTATTAACTCAGATTGAAGCTGCAGATTCTTTATATATGATGACATTGGAAGCATGAACTCTACTAAATATTTAAGCTTTCAGGTTTTCATTGTTTTTTTTTTTAAATCCAGGATCGCTGCAGACCCATCAGAGTGTTCCAATCAGCATAGACCGTTTTATAATGGCTTGCTCTGCCCCCATTTTTCCACGGTCCTCAAAGGAGTTCAGTTTCAGATCAGCAAGAAGTGGAGGGCTGTGCTCACATGTTGCTAGGGAACGACTCATTCTTCGTGCCTACTCTGCCTGCAGACAGCAGCAGGACACAATAACAGCTCTACAAGCTACGATACAACCCAACATACAGACACTCGGTTTATGTGGCTCAGCAGATCCAGCCTTGGCATACTCAGAAATGAACAAGCACTCTAGGGATAAAAGTTTCTATTTACTGTTCTTTGTGCAGAAATGATTGCTCAAAAACAAGCATTGTCCTGCAGCTCATAACTACGCAGTGTATTTTCAATACGCTTGGGTTAAAAGATTTATCAGACATGCACATTTTGCATGACAATAATGAGGATTAATTCAATATAAATGAGAACCAAATATTTGATGGCTATATTGTTTGATTTGAGTCATGTCTGCACTTATACTTAGATTTCTCTTTAATTGTGATTTGTTCCTCTCCAGTATCTCCAAGTTTGATGAACGTAGTGCCTTTCTCTACGTCCTGCACAATGCAGAGGATTTCCAGATCTATTTCTGCACAGAGATGCACTGTAAAAGGTATGTCTGCCTGTTCCTCTTCTCAGCTGCATTAAATAAGCTCATTGTCATTACTTGGGTTAATGCAGCTTATTTTTATTACTCAACAAATACAATAACCTTTACTGAACATGATTGAAGCTGCATAACAGTGCTGTGCTATTCCATTATTATTTTTTCCCTAATTTTTGAAATACGGTAATGTTGTTAGTTATATTGAATAATAACAACAAATGAAATCATATAAAGCAGCTCTATACATTGAATGATCGATGCAGGCGGTTTTCTTTTTACATGATTATTCAACACTCAGCATAGAAAATAGAAAATGTAAAGGTTTGATTTAAGAATTTGCTGAAGTTAATCTTTTTAAAATTGAAGGCCTTTTTCTAGTGTTGCTGCTTTGTTTAACATGTTTAAATGCTGTTAAATGTAAATAAAAAACTCAGCTGTTTTTTTCTCTTCGGATCAGTAACGGGCTTATATCACCTCAGAAAGCTCAAATGCTTTCACACCTCTTAGAATTCAATAGAATCAAAATGTTTCTTTTTCAAGGACTGAATAAGCAAAAACGATTATAGCTTTTAATTACCGTCAGGCTTTTGTGTTTTTGTTATTTTAGAAGATTAGTTCCCATTAAAATATCAAAATGAAAGAAAGTCCAATGTCTAAAAACCCTTAGAGATATGTTTTGGAGTTAGAGCTTAATCAGTAAATTAAGCTCCAACAACCCTTATTAGTCGTGACCTATACCCGATGTGTCAGCTGTACAGACCAGTCAAACCACACTACATCTATCAGTAATGCACTGTAGATCTTAGTATCATGGCTGTGTCTTTAACTCTAATAATCTCTCATAGCAGATGTTTTGTCAACAGATAAAGCTGCAATCTTCATGTCTGGCTCTTTCGACAATGCTTTCATGCATATGACTCATTCCTGCTGATGATCTTTTCATGCAGAACAGTTTTCCTAAGTGCTAACCTAATGCTAACATGCATCACTAATATTGTCAGCAATAATATTGTCAGCAAGGTTTTGTTGAAAAAACTTCAAAATAATAACGCTCTTGTCCTGCTTCTTCAACATAACTGTTGACATGGTACATTAGAATGGATGTTGGTTTAACGGCTTTCTGGAGCAACAGACCAGATCACATGACGCGGTTAAACAGATATAGATGTCATGTTTCATCGGGACGTGGTTGTTGGAATTGGATTAAAACAAAACAAACATTTAGCACCTTTTTTATTTATTGTTCATATAGAATAAAGATCATTTGAATGAAATTGCTCATTAAGGCTCCAAGCTACCTCTTTAACGCTCTACTCGCTGTGATACAATCTGATCACAAATAAGCAATATGTTCGCCTGCATGTTGTTCTGCAACTTTCCAGCCAATCGTTGAGATTCCCACATTGCATCATTTTAATCCATTGATTTTTATAAAGGTTCTGCATCAGTTCGTCTCCTAATTTCTTGATTTTTACCGTAGTCCATGTAAACAGTCAACTTGATTCTCTGGACATTATCTGCAGTTTAGGTAGGAATTTATTTTTTAGGATGGATCTATTCAATCCTGTCAGCTCAATAGTCTGGTGGGAAATATGTCTCTATCTCATCAACACGAGCTCACCTTCTTTAATTTCCACACCGTCATGTTCCCTGCCAGCTGCGCTTTGAAGCAGTGCGTTCGACTTGTGACTCTCACATCTGAGGCTTCCTGTGCCATTATCTGGAGTGTGAGAGTAAGTGAGTCATGCCTGCTGCTGCTATTATGCTGCTCCTGTTTTTTTTTTGTCTTTTTTCAGGAGTGACAGCAAGAAAAACAGGTAAAAAGAGGGGGAATAGAAAGTAGGAGGAAGACAGAAGCATAGCATCAGAAGCAAAGTGTGTGTTTGGTCACATTAACAGTATTGCTGGCATTTATGCACATATAATAAAAAAAAATGTGCCACTGAACACCTGCTGGCATGCCATGCATGACAGCATGATGATTCAATGTGTTAACTCACAGCTTGTGTGCAGTACGACCGGTAAAGGTCATTGTACGCATGCTGTGGGAAGTGTACAAGTAAACAAACTGTAACCCCTCCAGGATAAATTCAGCAGCAGTATAACACCCTTTAGTCAGAAATATGATTTTCAGTATTTGTCTAACCTGTTCTGCAAAGGAGCTTTTTTAATGTTCCAAATAAACAACCTATGTCTTTATGTATAGACACAAGGGTACTCATCTTATATAGACTTTTTAGGTAATTCCCATTTAACCATAAAACAATTTGCATGGAGATCCTAACATCAGGTTGCATTTATTATTGAAGTGAACAAACACTGATAGACTTAAATTATGACCATACGTTTTGTGCTCCCTCTTCTGCTGCCAAAAGGGACTCAGGTCTGCTTCATGTTGATTGCTTTAAAGCTTCTTCTTTCTTAGACAGTGAGATAATTTTATAAGACCATAAAAAAGCTTTCATACAGAAATGTAAAGATATATATGTTGACTTGACGGTAAGAAAGGTAATTTCTAAAGAATGCTGTATTCAATCAGGTAAAGTTAAGTGGAAGGAAAATATGTGGTTTTAAAAAAAGTGCACAAGAAACGGGGATTGTTGCAGCCTTGAGAGGAACAATAATCAAAAACCTTTCAAAAAGATATGAGTTGATTTATATGTACTCCTGGCTGACCTGACTTGTCTTTTGTAGGTTTTGTGAACTGGTCAACAGTATAACAGAAGAAGCCTGGAAGTACCCTGAAGAAGGAGACTGTGACACTGACGCCTTAGAGGTGAAAATAATAACTTCATTACTTCTTTATTACCTTTATTTTTTTTTTTACTTTTGAGATTTAAACTTCTTCATTGTAGTCTGATGTTGTAAACCCCAACGACCGGATGTAATCCGCCTATTTTATGTGTTTGTTTAAATTTTATCTCTTTACTTGAAAACCGCAAACCTTCTTAGTTTCCACACCGTTAAGACGGTAGAAATGTGGTAAAACATCCTTGTTTTGCTACATCCTGTTTTGCTTCAGAAGTACCGTTTGTCTGTTTTTTTAAATGTCACAGGAAGTGTGATATTGTTCAAAAAAGCATAAAAGTCACTCTATTTCACAAGGAAAAAGATTCATCTTCACAGACGCCTGACGCGTCTCTTTAACGAAGTTAAAAAAAATTTTGTTCATCAGATGTTCAAATTAGAATCCTGTTGGTTTACATCATAACGTCTGAGCTGAGGCACAGATGCAAACAGTTAGTAATGAGCAGGGACCTGCTGCTATGAGGCCTGGATTTCTGCTCCTGCTGTTTGTGGGGTTTTATCACCTGCTGCTAACTCTCACCTGTATTCTGAGCCAAGGCGATGGAAAAGAGAAGCTCATTACACAAAGAGAAAACAACAAACTGCAGTAACCTCTTCGACTCGGCGTGGCACAGATTGCATTTCTAATAGGTTTCTCACAAATTGGTTTCTGTATGTATGTTTTGATGCGGTGGGGCTGGAAACAAAATCAACAGATTTTTTAAGTGCTTCAAGCACAAACTTATAAGAAACTTCTAAGTTTAAACTTAAAAGCTTTTATTTAGGATTTCTTGGGTGTATACAATACGTTTTTTTTTTTTATTTAACCATAATTATAAACTTTAACAAATAAAAGCTGTACGATTTCAACGAGTTTAACATCAGAATCCATTAAGCTTTCCAGATTTCCCATTAATACAAGTTATAGTTCACCTGCAAACCACACCCAACCAAAAATAAGATCAAGTTCAGTTCAGTATATAGAATAGCAATAAAAGGGTTATTGAACTTAATCTAGATTAATCCCAAAGTCAGCATAAGGAAGAACAAACAAGGAGCCTAGATGAGAGCCCTGAGTGACGCCACAGTGGAATTAGGGTACCGTTTAAGTTTGGAAGCATTTAGGATGAGTACTTTTCATGTATGTACACCAAGGAAACAGGAGGACAGCCTGACGATCAGCTGACTCAGACCCTGCAGGGAGCTCTAAAGCATTAGAATAATAATGTAGATTTTATATGTTGCAGAGGGCCGTTTATGTGTTTTTTACCAAGTCCAAACCAGATAATGTAGATTTTTTTTGTTGCCATAGAAAAATTTATTTAGCTGCACATTATTTACAACAATAAATAAATGAATATAGTTTGTATGAGGATTTAGAAAGTTTCTACAGATATGCCATTGCTCTTTTGTGGAACAATATTTAATGAATTGAGAAGAATGAGGGAGCATGAAGCGCAAACATATGTTTCCAGTTGACCTGTGATTAAATTGACACTCAGATCAAAACTCCTTCAGATATGGATCCGTCTCTGGGTGGCTGAAACTACTTAGATTAAACAACAGGATTAGGAGCCTGTCCCTGTGTTTAACAGACCACCAGCGAGTTATTTAAAAGCATTTATCAGATGATTTAGGAAATGTCAACAGATCTAAAACAGAAATGTTTGATTTAATGTCAGTTAGTGACGAAAATGTATTATTTACAAAGTGTGTAAAAATCTTTTCTTCACAGTTTTGCACTGTATTTTCCATCCCTTTTAAATCTCTTGGTCTCTTTCTGTTTGGTTTTGCAGTACGACTATGAGTATGACGAACACGGAGAGAGGGTGATCCTGGGAAAGGGCACATTTGGGGTTGTTTATGCGGGCAGAGATCTCAGCAACCAGGTCCGAATAGCCATCAAGGAAATACCAGAGAGAGATAGCAGGTCAGATGTTTTTTTGTTGGTTTTTTTTGTAGTTTCTTTTACTTTTATTGCTGTTGATCTCATCTCTTTACAAACAGCATGTGTTGATTTGTCATTTATCCAGAAATAAAATGTATAACCTGAACTCTATTGCAAAAATTTAGATGGGATACTTATAATTTACGACATCCTGGATGTCAACAAGTTACTCAACTGTTGATGGCTGATCTCGGTCAGCATTTCTGTTGTGCGCCTTTAAGAAACTGAGAGTGCAGGACACATATTAGCGCTGTCACTGCTGCTTTCTGGCTGACTTAAGAGACAGGAAAGCAAAACATCCACAACCCCACTGCCTTTTATTCCCGTCACTGTCTCCACTGTAAATGCTTGTCTCCACCCACTCATCCCAGACCGCGAGACTCGTCTTCCAGACGAGACGATTCTGGTGCCACACTTTGTTCCACTAATCACATCAGAAAGTCAGCAGGCCGCTCGACTGTAGAGAATGAGGAGAATTCTGTGTGAATAATTTATAGGAGGGCAGAAATCTCAAGACAGATAGTGGGAGTGATTCATGCAGGGGACTGAGTGTTAGGAGAAATAGCTGGCAGGCATTTCTTCAACCTACAGGGATCTTTTTGTTCTGCTCAGATACCAGGAGTCACTCTCAGACTGGGTTAGCTGGGTTTTGGATGTCTTTAGATTCTTTTTCTCCTTTTTTCACCTTAAAAAGAATATCCACTGGTATGACATGGCTGCAAAATGTACTTGCTGTGCAGAATAGAAGGCTGCTAGAGCTAATTTTCATATCAAGCCCAAAACCAGATACCTTTCAGGCAAAGCAATAAACAACTTTAGAGAAAACCTTCTTTCCTGCTTGTCTTTCTTTGACTTTTCAATTTAGATTTGTTTTAGGAAAATTATTCATATTTAGTGCAACAGACTTTAAATTATTTTTATTTCCTTAACTTTCTGCCTCAAAATGTTGTTTTCATTATTGTAAAGGGATCAAAACTTTAACAAGTCAGTAGGAAAGTATAATTTGTATTTTATTAACTTCATTAGACTACGTTACTTAAATATATTCTATTTGTTTTTTTCAATTTTTCAATGACAGTTTGAATCTATTTTATAGATTTTATAGTTTTATTCAGCTCAAAGTTATTAAGTTATTTATTGAACTCTGTTTAGTAATGTTTTGTTTGTTTGTCTTTTTTTTTTTTAACATTAGGTCAGTGATCCAAATAAAAAAGTTGTAAATGTGACTTTGGAATTTCCTTCAAATAAGAAAACTTCAAATATATTTATATTTGTTCAACATTGTTGGGCAGAATATTGTATCTAAAAATAAATATATCACGTTTATTTGCAAAATGGCCAAAAACACTCAATGCAGAGGTCAGGTATGCCTCAAACCCTCTGATTTTGAACTTGGGTAATAATAATTAAACTTTATTGATCTCACATTGGAGAATTTTACCTCTGCATTTAGCTCATCCCCTTTGGGAGCAGTGAGCTGCAGTGGGGCGCCCAGGGAGCAGTGTGGGGTTAAGGGTCTTCCGTAAAAATTCAAAAAATATCCACTGGACTTGGTTTTCAAGAGTTGAAGACGTTTCGCCACCTCTCCAGGAAGCTTTCTCAATTCAAATAAGGGTCTTGCTCAGAGAACCAGAGTGGCAGTCTGTGGGAGTGGGGCTCGAAACTCAGAACCTCAGGATTTCAAACTCTATGCCCTGACCACTAGGCCAACACTCCACATAAATATCAGTAGTGGGGTTCAAATGTAAACAGACATATGTCCATTGGATCTTAAGTTCAACAACCACTCAGCCATCCTGGTAGGGATGGGACATTCCGGTTTTCATGTTCCTGCTAGTCGGCAGGATAATACTTACCTTCGAATACAAATAAAATGCACCCCAAATAACAAACAGAATGAAAAAAAAAAGTAAAAAGACACAAACAAAGAAGTGTTTTATTTTTATTTAATTTTAGGAGCAGATACATTTATTCACCTGAGGATGAAAGAACAATTGTTTCTTTCTGGAAAAAACCCATATGACGAACTCCTAGGAAGTTTTCACAGCTGCAGCACATCAGCCTCATATTTTTCTTAAACCCCATAAGAAAATTTCATCCCATAATAAAGAATAAGCTGCATAAAATCAGGGAACCAAGACTAGTACAGTGCACTTTGTTCACACATTAGCAAGGCAGATGTTTGCAAAACATGCAAACATCTGCCTTGACTGTACACACCGAATATGATCAACTCTACAATGCACTGAACTGCATTTTTTGAAGTGAAAATTAAATGTTGTTTTTTTTCAATTATAAAGGTACTCTCAGCCACTCCACGAGGAAATCGCTCTCCACAAACACTTAAAGCACAAGAACATTGTCCAGTACCTGGGCTCTATTAGTGAGAACGGCTTCATCAAGATCTTCATGGAGCAGGTGCCTGGAGGTGAGACTGTGTTTTATGATTTATTGATTCATTCCAAACATGTCAAACCCACAGAAAACCCATTATCGCAAAATAGCAAAACATTGACACTTTGAAATGTGTGTATTTATATATATATATATATATATATATATATATATATATATATATATATATATATATATATATATATATATATNATATATATATATATACAGATTCCTGACAATGCCCATACCACAGATAAAAAATCTGGCTTGTCAACATGTCTGAAATAATTCAGTACTTTTTCCTTAACCTTATAAATTATATGAAAAAACACTATTTATATGTAGTTGTGCTTGAAAGTTTATATACCCGCCCATAAAAGAAAAATATTGATTTTGATTGTTTGTTTAAAAATATTATTATAAAGCAGAAACCTGACTAACATTTCCTGAACTAACTGAAATCACCTGATTTCTCTGATTGTTTATTATTAGTTTTGTCAATTTCTACGTATTTTTACTGGCAGCTGATTTCCTTCTGTCTGTAATGGAAGGGTATGTATATCTGCACAACTGTATATAATTGTTAGAAGTAATGTTATTTCTTTAATGCATTTTTATTGATGGGTTCAAGTGGTCTTTATGCTAATACTTTATTCCTCTTCAGTTTAAGAACTAAAAATGAAAATAGTGTCAATGGTTCAAATTAGGAGAAGATTAAAAAAAAATCTACCAGCTGAGTCGGCGAACTCAGAGTGTTCAGACTTATAAAAATTAGTATTTATCCTTGTTCTGTTTTGTCGTTTTGTGTCCAGGGAGCCTGTCGGCATTGCTGAGGTCCAAATGGGGCCCTTTAAAAAACAACGAGCCCACCATCGGCTTCTACACCAGGCAGATCCTGGAGGGCCTCAAATACCTGCATGACAACCAGATCGCTCACAGAGACATTAAGGTAGAAATTACTGTAATCTTAACTCTACACTAACTCCACTAAGGTTATATTAAATGCATTATAAGCTGCAAAGTTGTTGTTCTTTAAGCATCAACTTTCAAATTATGTAACATATAAATATATTAAGCCATCATTTATTTCAAAATATTTTAAATCTGCTGGTAAAGAAATGTAACAAGTGTAACAAGAAAGATGAACAGGTGTAGCAAGAAATATTTTCTGTTGTCTTAAAAGGAGCAAAAATCTTTATGTGCTTCTTACTTTTAACCTTTGTTAAGTATTTGGGATAAAATGAGCAACTGTATAAGTTGTTAAAGGTTATATCTTCAAGAAATGGTTTAGGAGAATAAAGCTGAGGAGAAAAAAATACAAAGTGCATGAGAAAATGTTTTATTTCAACTTTATTTTTCCTCTTGGTATTTAAAGAGAAAAAAAGTCCCTCATTAATGAGTCATTATTTTTTTATTAGAATGCCCCAAACAGTTCCTATAAGAGTCATACTGCATATGTGGCTTTTTAAACTTTTTAAGGCGACTATAAGATCTTTCTTATTTATTTATTATTTATTCAATAACCCCTTCTGAACCTGGGATATTAATATCTTGTGACACGGAAGCCTGCCTCTCTTGCCTGCTGTTCAAAATGGAAAGACATTAATGGGAAGGCAGCGGTGTGTTGATCTTTAAATAAAAATGGCCAAAAAAAAAGTAGCTATTTGCTAAACTTTTTAATCAAAGCAATAATTTAAACATTTAAAATAAGTGGAACTCTGACAAATTAGAATGTAGAAGAATGTTAAAATACCAGGGTGGTCTTCCCTCCAAAAAAAAAAGGATTCTTTTTTTTTTTTGTAGATGAGCTTGTTTTATTTACTGATGTTTTTCTTTTATTCTCAGGGGGATAATGTCCTAATTAACACCTACAGTGGCGTACTGAAGATATCAGATTTTGGCACATCCAAAAGGTTGGCTGGAATCAACCCCTGCACTGAAACATTCACAGGTACTGACCCACTTCCCTTCTGCCTGTTTAAACAAGCATCCTCCCAAGCTGAGATTCCTCCCTGCCTCCCAAAATAGAAAAACTGTGTTAATCTGTTGCAATAAATATAACCAAGCATCATATATCCTTTTAAAAACAGCTCCTGTCTGTCCCTCTTTCAAAGAGTTAATCCTGTGTGCCTTAATTGAACAGCAAAGGATGTCCTTAAAATAGTTGTCTGTTTCTATTTGAAGACACTGGGCAAGAGCCTGTGGTCAGATCCAGTAGGATTGTGTCAACACAAAAGCTGCCAAGTGTGGCTCAGTTTGACCTCATGAATTAGGCCATCTGACTGCTGGCTGGAGCAGACAGACTCGCCCTGAAAGGTGCGGCTCTTTTAGTAAACTGGGCTTCTCCTTGATGTTGCAGCCCACGCCTTCTAGAAATGCGTCAGCTCCTTTTTTTAGCTGAATGCACAGGCTTCTAAATAGAGCAAATAATCACCTCGCAGGTTATTTATAGAACAAAGGAGTCTTTTCAGTTAAGAAGAGGGAGTCTGTCTTTAGATTCAGGATTAAAGAGCAACACTGAGACTCTTAGCTGTTACTTAAGGCCCTAACCTAACCCCTCTGTAGCCTAAATGGAGACTTTAAGGTATTGTTAATACTTTACATTTGAGTTCACTTGTAATTATCTCTAATGCAAGTTATTTTGGGCTTTAACATCAGCACTTTCATGCCGTGATGATGACTCCTCTCACAGAGTCAGAAACACTTTGTACTCTGTTTTTCTTTTGTACATTTGGGAACACTGATGAGTTAAAGGTTATCCGTCTGGGGCTTTTTTACAGAATAGAAAAGAACATACAGTGTGTCAGTTGTGCAGAAGTACTTATATCTCTTTAAACTTTCACAAAAATATTTCAGGCAGATATTAATGACTGTTTTTCTTTTATGGACATCAGCCGCTATGGGAATCGGTTTTTGGATTTATTAGTGCCTCCATCAGCCATGCCTTAAAGGAATAGTACACCCAAAACATGATTAGCCTTCATTTTCTACTCACCCCCATGCTGAACAACACTCTGGAGTACTTTTTTGATATCTCAAATGCATCTGGAGATCTGGGAGGCTTCTTGCTGTCTGCTGACATTCAAATAATGGAGGTCTATGGCGCCCGAGGCAGAAAGGTCCATAAAAGTCCACAAAAAACGTGTCAATATTCCTCCATACTGCTCGTCCAATGTATTCCAAGTGTCCTGAGTGGGTAGCGTCCATAATTTACTCGAAACGAAGTCATTTAGAATGTTTTTAGAGCATAAACAGTAGTGTATAGGATTTCCTGAAAGCACGCGCCTGCGCGTTCACGACTCTACGGAAACCGCGGCAGACCAAACCAGATGAAAGTGCGCATTCAGCGTCTGCTCTGCCGATAATGCAAGCGTAGAAGAAGAAATGTGCTGTTTACCTGTGCAAAGAAAGAAACAACGAAAGAAAAATGTCTGAGGACTTCAGTGTTGAGGAAGAGCATGAGTTCTTTGCCAAGCTGAATGCGCACTTTCATCTGGTTTGGTCTGCCGCGGTTTCCGTAGAGTCGTGAACGCGCTTTTAGGAAATCCTATACACTACTGTTTATGCTCTAAAAACATTCTAAATGACTTCGTTTCGAGTAAATTATGGACGCTACCCACTCAGGACACTTGGAATACATTGGACGAGCAGTATGGAGGAATATTGACACGTTTTTTGTGGACTTTTATGGACCTTTCTGCCTCGGGCGCCATAGATCTCCATTATTTGAATGTCAGCAGACAGCAAGAAGCCTCCCAGATCTCCAGATGCATTTGAGATATCAAAAAAGTACTCCAGAGTGTTGTTCAGCATGGGGGTGAGTAGAAAATGAAGGCTAATCATGTTTTGGGTGTACTATTCCTTTAAGATCATGTGAAGTGTATGCATTGCCCCTACTTTATTTTGCTATCCATTGTAATTTTTTTTCGTTTAATTAGTAAGTATGGATTTAATTTTTGTTAAAATTGATTCTAGTGTAACATCTAGTGTATCATTGTGTCGTATTTGTAATCTAAATGAAGAATAAAATAAGTAATACCTACTTCCAAAATCGCCCCCCAGAAATCAGCAACATATTTCAGGAATCAATTAGACTGATGGCAATATAATCGGCATCAACCTTACAAAATCCTCTATCTATTGATCTCTGCTAATATGTATTTCAGAATAGTAAAGCAGAAGGAAATATTTACATGCTACTTAAAATTTTTTTACAAAAAAAGTTAAAAGTGTGATGTTAGACTAGAATACAACTACCAGCCTTCTAGGATATATGTCTGCCAGCTTTTCTCTATAGAAAATATACACATTTTGTCCATTTTTTTTTTTGCAAAATAGCTTATTTTTTGTTGTTTTTCTTGTTGTTCTTATTACAAATTAGAGGTGTAACATCTCCAAATGTAATTCTTGATTGTCAAGTCCTGTAACAGGCATTTTGTTTTATTGAATTAAGTGCTTGACTTAATGGAGGCTTCTGATACAGAGTTGTTATTTCTTTACCATGCTAGTGTAGTTCTGGCTAAATGTTAAGGGATTTTTTTTTTTTTTTCGCATCCAGTTACAATCATCTCTGCTCAGATATCATCAGGTTGATGCTGCCATCACCATGTTTCACAATGGGGTTGGTGTGTTTAGGCCCATGTGAGCTTTAGTTTCCTGTTACATATAGCGCTTTGCAATGTGAGCCAAAAACAACAAAACAGAGATAGACTTTATCCTTTGTGTATTGTTTTATTCTTTAGGCACATTGCAGTACATGGCTCCTGAAATTATAGACAAAGGTCCCAGAGGATACGGCAAACCAGCGGACATCTGGTCCTTAGGCTGCACCATCATAGAGATGGCAACTGGTAAACCACCATTCTATGAACTTGGTGAACCACAAGCTGCCATGTTCAAGGTGAGATCTTAGCAGCACTGTTCCCTCTAGTTTTATGTGTCTTAGTTCATGCAATCCCTTTTCTTCTTTGTTGCATTTGGCCAAGATTGCATCAGCGTCTTTATGTTGTTATACTTGATTTAATGCAGCAGCTCCTGAAGCCAGTTCAACCTGTCTGTCCTGATTTATAAATCATCCACAATAAAATTGAAATACTAGGTTTCCAGCCTGTCAGAGCAGGCTAAAAGCTCCTATTGTTTCACGTCCAAGGAAAATCACACACTGCGCCACCTGAGAAGGGTTGACATAAACCGAGAGGAAGGCAGATGATTATGACCGACTCTCGGTGTGTAAAGCTGAAAAGAGCCCATCAGACAGCAAATCTGAAAAGTGTTAATCTAGCGGTAAAAGTTAAGATAAAAACATGAATTAAAATATTATACAGTTGATACCAGGTATTAACTTACACTTCATGACAAGACACAACTTAATTAGATTAAACTTTTAATGTCAGATGGAATTACAGTTAATATTTCTATTTGTTAAATCCTACATATAGGTAATATTATCTTTTTCTAAAATTTGCTAGAAAGCACAGGGTATGATGTCATTGCTTTTTGAGCTCTTGATTGGATATGTTGTGAATGTGGATTCAAATAGAAGGAATCATATGCAAATAAAATAGCGTAGAATAGGGATTTTTGTTGTATCTTGGTGTTTCTGCCACAAAGAGAAATGCAAGCTGGCGCATACAGATAAATACAATAAATGTACATTTATTGACATATATGTTTAAAAAATTTCCTAATTTATCCTACTTAGTCTGTTCTTATAAAACCTCTTATTCCTACTTTCTATTTATAATTTTTACTAGGACATTTTTTAACATATATCTAAATAAATATAAATAGTTTTTTTTAAAGCAAAACCTCAAACACTCTGCTTCTTTGTTTGACACCACTGCGAAAGACCAGAAATCCACTGAGATACCAGGAAGAGAATCATGTTGGGTCAGATCTCTCTTTCTGGTCAGTATCCAGATGCACGCAAGTGCCAATCTGCAGTGTT